AACTTGAAATAATCGATTGAAATAACTTGAAGTGTTTTGAAAGTTGTTTTGTCAGTATTTTAATTGATACAAATGCGAAATAATCAATTAAAACAACTAAGAGGTTTTTCCAGAATGTTTTAATCGATTAATACAAGCCTTGCTATCAGTTAAAATAACTTAGAAAGTTTTATGAAATCTTTTGGCAGAATTATAATCGATTAAAATGCGTTTCAATCGATTAAAATAACTAAGTGAACTTTTTTCAAAGTGTTTAATCCATTAAAACAGATTGTTATCAGTTAAAATCACTTAGAAAAGTATATAAGAATGTTAACGTAAGTTACACAACTTTGGGGGACATAGTCCCTTATCTCCTAAGAAGATGTGTTCCTTTGTATTTATAGTCATTCTCACTTAGCATGTGTGCAGTATCACAAATATATATATATATATATATATATATATATATATATATATATATATATATATATATTATTTTGTCATTCTATCTTTTCTTCTTTCATTTGAGTCTATTCTTCCTTTAGCAATGAGTAGTCATAAATCTCTTATGGTATCCACGAGAAAGTCCAGGGGAAGTTCTGGTTACACCTCAACTTGATGGTTCAAACTATCATACATGGAGCCGATCAACGAAGTGGGCATTGATGTCAAAAATAAGAAAAGTTTATAAATGTTAACGTAAGTTATACAACTTTGGGGGACATAGTCCCTTATCTCCTAAGAAGATGTGTTCCTTTGTATTTATAGTCATTCTCACTTAGCATGTGTGTAGTATCACAAATATATATATATATATATATATATATATATATATATATATATATATATATATATATATATATATATATATATTATTTTGTCCTTCTATCTTTTTTTCTTTCATTTGAGTCTATTCTTCCTTTAGCAATGAGTAGTCATAAATCTCTTATGGTATCCATGAGAAAGTCCAGGGGAAGTTCTGGTTACACCTCAACTTGATGGTTCAAACTATCATACATGGAGCCGATTAATGAAGTGGGCATTGATGTCAAAAATAAGTTTAGGTTCGTTAGTGGTGAAATCACTAGCATGTAGCAATCAATTATACGAAGCTTGGAAATGCTGCAACTTTATGATTGTCTACATTGATAACGCTAAAGACTTGTGGGATGAGCTTCAAGAGAAAGGCTTTCTAAGGGTAATAATTTCTGAGTATGTGATCTGCTTTAAGTAATCAATTCCATTAAACAAGGAGAAAGAACTGTTACAGAGTATTATACTGACTCAAAGATCATGTGGGAAGAATTTGACTCCTTATGTCCTATTCCTAATTGCCTTTGTAGGAAATCTAGTTGTAATATTGACAAGATCATCTCTGCCTATAAAGAATTTGAGCGCACAATGTGTTTCTTGAAAGGATTAGGAGATATCTACAACACACTCAAAACACAAATTTTGCTCATGGATTCACTTCCAACTATTAATCATGTATTCTCTATGATTCTTCAACAAGATAGGAAGTTGAATGAAAGCATCAATATTGAGAAAGTTCTTATCAACAGTACAAGAAGTAGAATCCAAAGAATGACACCAAAAACGAAAATGGATCTCAAGGATGGAAAGGTTATGGAAGAGGAAGAGGAAAGAACTATGGAAAGTAATCCTCTTTTTGCAACAAGATAAATCATACGGTAGACTAGTTCTATTTCAAGTATGGTTATTCACCATGGATGAAAAAGGTATAACGAAACCATAAACAACATCGAAAAGAATGAGAAAATTCTCTTCAGGAACATAATGCAGATGAACAGATTTTGAAGGAGTTGAGTCCTAAGCAACTTGAACAAATGACTAGAATCATTCAATATGGAAAACTCATTAAACCAAAAAGACTATTAACAACAACTTTGGTGAGAATTCTATACAACATCCACAAAACGGTCATAATAGTAAGAGTTTCTAGATTATTGATACAAGAGCCACATATCATGTGGCTTCCTGCATTTCTTTGTTCATAAGCTTACTCTTAATATAATATCTGCACATAAATTGGTTAATGCCTTAAATTGTCAACTTGTTTTCTCTCATGATGAATGCTAGATTTAGGAGAAGAATAGCTTCAAGACGATTAGTAAAGCTGAGATGTGAAATTGGCTATACCACTTCTCTCTATTATTAAATGCATGGTAATGATAGTTTCAATAATGATAACAAAGTTGATATCTAGCATTGTGGATTTGGTCACCCTTCAAACAAAGTTATGGAATAATTATAAAAAAATATATGATTGTGTATGTTTTAATAAAATAGATGTTTGCACCCCTTATCATTTAGCTAACACAATGTAGGCTCCCATTTCAACTTAACAAAACTAATACCAACAGTGATTTTGATATTGTTCATATAGATATCTAGGATCCCTTTCGAATGCCTTCCATACATGACCATAAGTTTTTCCTCACTGCTGTAGATGATTTCACGCGATACACTTGTGTTTATTTGATGAACAAGCAAGAGTGAAATGAGGGGTCTATTAAGTAGTTTCATTATGTTTGTTAAGACTAGTTTAACCAAGATATTAAAGTAATTAGGACTGATAATGATCGGGAGTTTTGTTGACAAGATTTCTATAGTAAAAATGGCATAATACATCATATCACTTGTGTAGAGACATTGTAACAAAACTCTATGGTCGAACATAAGCATCAACATATTCTCAACGTAACACATTGTCTTATGTTTCAATCTGATTTACCTAAGGTTTTTTTGTCCTATGTTGTTAGTCATTTTTTTCACCTCATTAATCGTTTACCTTCACCCGTTATTCACAATAAAAGTCCTTTCCAAATGTTGATTACATAATAGAAATAAACTTGATCCAAGGGCTAGGAATTGTATACATCTTGGATTAAAAACTGGAACCAAAGGTTATATTGTCATTAATTCCAATAATAGAGAGATTTTTGTTTCAAGAAACGTTGTTTTCCATGAAAATATTTTTATCAAATCTCTAATGATACTATCATTGATAAGATTAAACATTATGATAGCTTTTTGGAATACATGGTTGATGATTATCAATTTGAAGAAATCCAGAATGATGTACAAGACAACAACATAGAGGAAGAAGCTCCAGATGAGAATCTAAGGCGATTTACCTGAGCCCGTAGAGCTCTAGAGTTTCTTAAACACTATCATTGACAGTTTTAAATGTTTGTTGGCAATAAAAGTCACCAACCAAACAATGTACATCATTTCGTTGACTCTATGCTTTCATACAAAAACTTATTTGACAGACAACTCAGTTACACTCTTTCTCTTTCGTGTCAAAACAAGTTTCAATCGTCTGAAGAGGCTACTAAAGATCCAGAATGGACAAAAGCTATGACAACTAAAATTAAAGCTCTCGAAGCCAATAACACGTGGGAAATTGTTGACCTTCTCCCTGGAAAAACACTGATATGTTTTAGATGGGTATACAAGATCAAGAGAAAGACAGATGAAAAGATCGAAAGATACAAATCTAGGCTCGTTGCCAAGGGTTATACACAAAACGAGGGCATAGACTCTCTTGATACCTATTCTCCAGTTGCGAGACTTACCACTGTTCGCACCATCCTTGTTGTAGCTGCCATTCAAAACTGGTTCATGGAGCAGTTAGATGTAGACAATGCCTTTCTGCACGGTGACCTAAATGTGGAGGTTTACATGACACTTCTTGAAGGTATTAATGTTTACTCTTCTTATGGAAAATATAACAAAGTTTTTCGCATGATAAAATCCCTATATGGTTTAAAGCAAGCGAGTAAACAGTGGTATGAGAAACTCACCTCCTATCTACATACTCTTAGTTTTAGCCAATCAAAAGCAAATAATTTTTTGTTTATTAAACATACTACAACATCCATAATTATCTTGCTAGTATATGTAGACGACATTATATTATCAGGAAACAATATGAGAGATATTACAAACATAAAAGAAGCTTTGAACACTACCTTCAAGATCAAAGACGTTGGACAACTGAAGTTTTTCTTTGGATTATAAATTGCCAGAACACATGAAGGAATACATGTTTGCCAAAGAAAATATACTCTTGGTATTCTTGTAGATGCAGGGATGCTTAATGCTAAGCATGTCTCAACTCCTATGATTAAGAAAAATGCAAATTTGATTGAACAAAATGTTGATGTGTGTGATACTACTTCATATAAAAAGATCATATGATGTTTACTATATCTAGTCAACACAAGACCAGACAACATCAATTTTGTTGTACAATTTCTCATCTAACTTGTTCAAGCTCCATCGAAACACCATCATCAAGTTGTCCAACGAGTGTGTAAGATACATCGAATCATTTTCTGCACAAGGTATTTTCTACCCCAAAAATTCAAATATATATATATATATATACAAATTTTTAGTGATTTTGATTGGACGTCTTGTTTAATCACACATTGTTCCACCACTGGATATTGTGTCTTCCTCAAAGATTCCTTGGTCTCTTGGAGAATGAAGAAACAAAACATTATTTCCAGATCTTCTTTCGAAACTGAGTATAAGGTATTATCCTCCACTTGTTGTGAAGTTCAATGGATCACATTCTTACTTGAATATTAACACGTCGAATCTGGCAACATGGCCAACCTCTATTGTGATTCTCAATCTACAAGGCATATAGTACACAATAAGTTTCCACGAACATACTAAACACATTGTCATAGACTATCATGTGGTCAGAGAAATTACAATAAATATTGTTTAATCTCCTACCCATTCATTCATCTAAGCAACTTGTAAATGTTTTCACCAAGACTCTCGACCATGATGCTTTTCATAAACTTATAAACAAGCTTGAAATTCTTTTTATCCACATTCCAGCTTGAGGAGAACGTACTTTTTAGGCTCATCTTCCTCTGTTCTTATAATCACTTGCATGTATGCAATAATAATATTTTTTTCATTTTTTTCTTCTATCTATTCTTCTTTCATTTGAATCTCTTGTTCCTTCTACAATGAGTAGTGATAAATATGTTAAAAACTGTTCGGGTCAAAGGACTCCCACACCTACCATTCATTTGAGTTTTGAAAGGGTTGAAATTGCAATAGATGTTGCACATAGGAAACTTGCTACATACGAAATACTGCTTGAACTCAGGGTAATCAATGTTAAGCTTAAGAGAGCTGCAATAATCTTCAGGTAAGTTCCTTGGTTGCAGCAACATTTCTTTGCATGCTTGTATCCAAAATCAGTTGTCGAGACCTACAACATTATTGTACAATGAGTGCAGGGAACCAATTGTAACTGGTCCAATGTTAGACTCTTACTCTACAAGTCTTGCAATGGTACCTAAAGGCAACATTAAGAAGCTACATAAGATATCCACGAAGTCGTTTTCTGCTTCAGCAAATAAGACTTTGTTCGTGCATTTGTTCACCAAAAGTTTCAATGACACTTGCACATCTGCTTGAGTAGTAGCCATGCTAGCAACTAGCAAACGTTTAGAACATAAGCAAATCCGTAGTACAAGTTGATTCTGTTAACTTTTAACTTTAAGAATTAGTTTGAGCAGTTCCATATAAACCATGTTAATGAGCTTTTTCAGATTCCCTTTATCTTTTAAGCACTATTTTTTTTAGTATATCGTACTAATAATGTTCTAGTATTAATCAATGTGCCAAATTTTTAAAAATTGTTTTGAAATGGTGGGAATATACGTTATTCCTTATTAAATGCAGGTGCTTGGAAATAGTATTTGAATTGGATAAAAATGTTAGACAAATGGCATCTAGAGGGGGGTGAATAGATGCACAAATTAAAATAGATGTCAAATTAAAATTTTTTTGTGAGTCAATAATTTGTTTGAACACAGAGAAAGCGGAAGCGATAATATAATCAGGAAAAGAGAAAGAGATAAGGGAAAGAGAAGAACACACAGAGATTTATACTGGTTCGGGTATAGCCAACCCTACATCCAGTTCCTAGTCAACTCTTAACACAAGAGTGACTCCCAATTCACTATCTTTCAAATTTAGTTTACAAATTACAATCAACTCAGCAGAAGAACCAATAAAAAGTAAACTAATTAAAAAGACAATCACCTCCTTAGAAACCCACTAAGGATAAACACCTCCCTAGAATCCCACTAGGGATGAACACCTCCTCTAAACAAATCAAAGGATGAAAAAACACCTCCTTAGAAACCCACTAAGGATGAACACCTCCCTAGAATCCTACTAGGGATGAACACCTCCTCTGAACAAATCAAAGGATGAAAAAACACCTCCTTAGAATCCCACTAAGGATGAACACCTCCCTAGAATCACACTAGGGATGAAAAGTACTTCCTTTGCCACCAATACACAAAGGATGAAGGTAATAAATAAAAAAAAGAACAGTCACACCTGGGTAATGGAGACAACAAATTGTAGAAGCTTGTAGAATGTCAATCTCCAAGAACAAGTGTGATTAATAATGAAAGCACATAAGGTAGTACAGAAAAGGGTTTTCTCAGAAGGTGTAAAATATCTCTATTGCCTTGCTCAAAATTCTTTTCTCAAAACGGATTGAATGTAAATTGTATTTTCGAATTCTGTAATTGTGTTTTTTTTATTTTTCATCAAAATTTAATTAAATAGAATAATAGTATCAGAAAATGGCCGTTGGACATTAATATTTTTGTGAATAAAAATTAGGATATATTAAAAAATATTTATTCTTCAAAACAGATATATTTTTCAAATTTGAATTGCCATAATTGATTATGTTACCAATATAATCAATTATGACAGATAAAATCATTTTTCTATTTCTGATGCATCATAATTGATTATGATAGTGAAAAATATCACGTTATGAATTTTATCACACTTGTGCTTTGGAGGTTTATGCATAATATTACTTCATCAACTTGTACCTCCATATCCAGTATTCTAAGACTCTGTCTAGTCTTCAGGAATCATCTTGGGCTTGCTTGTATCATCATATTTATCAAAAACATATCTTGGGCATGTAGGAAAATGTTTTACATTGTCACCAACGTCATAAATTCAGCTTGTCCTTAATTCATCTTGAATGGTGTTGACTTGAATGTAGTTTACTTGAATCATCATCAAAATCATCTCTTGGGAATGTAGGGACATTTCCATCAATCTCTCGCTCATTGCTTTCAATCTCCCCCTTTTTTATGATGATCAAGGAAACACCTGAAATGAATTAAAATGCTTGACTCTATATAACCAGCTCAAGATTAGCACAGTATAACACAAATTTGTATCAAGTGTCAGAGTCTCTTAATCTTCTCCTGGATATATTAATAATAAGACTCCCCCTAACTCATATGAGCAAAGACTTCTTTTAACTCCCCTTGTTTAATTTAGAGATAGGAATGAATTTTACACAGATTTTAATTCATCAAAAAATCTCCTCCTATTTCATTGATAATCATAAAAAAATATTATAAGAGAAAAAATCTCCCCTGTTTCACACGATTAATATCATCAAAATATCTCCATGTTTCATTGATAATTATGAAAAATATTATAAGAGAAAAAAATCTCCCCCTGTTTCACACAGATTAATATCATCAAAATATCTCCATGTTTCATTGATAATTATGAAAAATATTATAAGAGAAAAAAAATCTCCCCCTGTTTCACACAAATTAATATCATCAAAATATCTCCCTCTTTCATTGATAAATATGAAAAATATTACAATAGAAACTGGGAACAAATGTGCACATATTAGTACATAAATCAAGGTAGAGAAGATAATGTATTACAAAGTGTCATAGAGAAGAACATCATATTAAGGAGACAATATCTAGGATACCCAAGACAAATGAAGAGAGAGAAAGATAGGGGAAAAGAATGATTATAGAGATAATGGAATGAAATGCAGTAGTTTCCCCCAATTGCAGTCTTCTTATTTAGGCAGCTTTCAATTCAAATGCACTCATATTCCAGATTTCAAATGTCAAATTCAAATTGAAACAAATTTCAAATTTCAAATTCAAATTCCAACAAATTCCAAATTTCAAATTCAAATTTCTAATCCCAAATTTCAAATTCAAATTTCAAATTCCAATTCAAATTCCAATTCAAATTCAATTTCAAAAATCTCAAACTGCAAAAATTTCAAATTTCAAAATCTCAAACTACAAAATTTCAAATTTCAAAAATCTCAAATTGTAAAATTTCAAATTTCAAAAATCTCATATTGCAAATTTAAAAAAAAAAATCTCAAACTGCAAAATTACAAATTTCAAAAATCTCAAATTGCAAAATTTCAAATTTCAAGAATCTTAAACTGTAAAATATCAAACTTTAATAATTTCAATTTTTCATAAATTCAAACTTTCAAAATTCAAACTTTCAACATAATTGATTATGACAATAAGAAATAAATTTCCAATTCTGATAATCAATTAGATGCTCAAACTATCATCTAGACATGTATAAATGCTTTGTTCCTTTAGGCACCCATTCATATTTGCCATTAGATATGCCAAAATGTTTTATGTAACATCTATTTGATGTATGACCTAATTTCATGCAATAAAAACATGTTGGTTTTCTTGGAAAATGTCTAAATGAGTTTCTTAAAGTTTTTTAAATTGGTTTCACATCTGTTTTCCTTGACACTTTCAAAAAAATAGTTTTATGAGGTTCTAGACTTTCTTTGGGTTTGTAACCAAGTCCAACTTTGCTAGAATTCCCTCTTTGATAACCTAATATAGAATCAAGATTTTCATAAGATTTTGAAAACTTTCTTATTATTTTCTCTAACTTGAAAATCTCATTTTCCAAATGATTACAATTTTCACAAGATTTAGCAACTTCTTTATTTTTAGACAAAGTTTTAAATTTCTCAACATCTTTCTTTAAGCACTCATTTTCTTTTTCAAGAATACCAACAGTATTTTCTAATGCATTAAACTTTTGCCTAAGTGCATTGTATTTCTTAGATAATTTGGTAAAACCTTCATACATATCTTGATATTCTTTAAACAACTCATCATATTTATTTAAGGATTTTGTACTACTTACCTGTGATGAGGCTTCATCATCATTTTTTGTCATCAAGCAAAGATTTGCTTCTTATTCTCCATCACTGCTTTTGGAAGAACTCTCTTGTGTTGTGGAAGAATCATTATCCTCCCAAGCAATATAAGCTTTGCGTTTTCTCTTATAGGTATTGTTCTTCTCTTTCTTCTTCTCTTTCACATCTTTCTTCTCTTTCTTAAGTTCCGGACAGTCTGGTTTGATATGACCAGGTTTTCCACATTCATAGTAATGAAATTTATTTGTTTTCTCCTTTCTTTGCGGCCTCTTTTTCCTGTTCTTCATAAATTGAGAAAATTGTTTAACAAAAAGAGACATATCGGAGTCCGAAAACTTACCTTCATTTTCGCTTTCGTCTTGTGAATATTTTTCTGCTTTTAGAGCTATCGTTTTGGTTTGATTCTGTTCACCGTTCTTTAACCTTTGTAACTCCATCTCATGTTCTCGCAGCTTTCCAAATAGAGTAGCAATATTAATTTTTGTGAGATCCTTTGATTCTGTAATAGCAGTGACCTTTGGTTTCCAATTCCTATCTAAGGATTTTAAGATTTTTGTGCTCAACTCCTCATTATCAAAACTTTTTCCTAATGCTTTCAAGTGATTTATTATATGTGTGAAGCATGTCTGGAAATCTGTGATGCTTTCATTTTGCTACATTTGAAATAATTCATACTCCTGGATGAGTGTGTTCTTACATGCTCGTTTTACTTCTGGATGAGTGTATTCTTACATGCTCGTTTTACTTCATTTGTTCCTTCATGTGTTACTTCAAGAGTGTCCCATATTTCTTTTGCCGTCTTGCATTGTGAGACCCTGAAAAATTTATTACGAGTTAAGGCAGAAACAATAGCATTTCGGGCTCTTACATCATAATAGGCACGCTTGTTTTCATCCGGTATCCATTGATAAAAAGTCTTTGGAACAGCTCCAGACTCCGTTGTTCTCATCAGAATGTAGGGACCATTGAGTACATCATCCCAAACACCATAATCTAGTGTTTGTAAAAATATTTCCATTCTTGCTTTCCAAAACTGATAATCTTTTCCTTCAAATAATGGTGGTCTATTTATTGAGGCTCCTTCCCTGTAAACCTGATTCTGCATAGACATCTTCACAGATCGTTTAGAAATATCTTATTTAACCAAGCTTTGATACTGTTGAACATTCAAGGACTTGATGTTGCACTTGATGAACATAAAGATTGTTGATTTTGATGATGATTCAATAACACAAAGACTTAGAGTGTTGAAGACTTGTTTTGTATTGTAATAACTCTATTTCAATTAGATTGAGTCTGTAATATTAGAGTTTAAGATAGTTGGTACATAGTCTGCACCTTAGAAGCTTCAAAAAGCTCAAATTTATCATCTAGGCTCGGCTTTAATCGATTAAATAGGGAAATAATC